GTACTTTGGCCACCTGGTGCAAAGAACTGACTAGTTGGAAAAGACCCTGATGCTGAGAAAGATTGAAGGCAGGAGGAGGAGGGGATGACAGAGGATGAGATGGCTGGATGGCATCACTGACTCAAAGGATGTGAGTTTGAGTAAACTCTGGGAGTTGGCGATGGACAGGGAGGCCTGGCGTGCTACAGTCCATGGGGTCGCAAAGAGTTGGGCACAATTGAGTGACTGAACTGTGACATATAAAATACATTATTAAAATTAATTGTATACTCTTTAGTGTGGTTAATACATTTTGGTGTGCATTTCATTTCTATTGGACAGCAATGAGTTAGATCATTCCAAAGTTACGTACTTGCCTGCATTTTACAGAAATGTGCATTCAATCCTATGACTTTTATATTATGCAGTTCTATTAAGAATTATTTAAGAAATATCTTTTTAAAAGCCACAGTTGAAAACTTTTCCATCTTAGGCTTGGCAGTATAAATTTCTCATGGAATTTGAAACTAGCAAGAATTGTCACTTGGGGAGAAGATGGTGTGCTTTTAGTTGTAAGTAGTAGCAGGCATTCTTTGCTTAGGCATTCTTGTACAAGTATCTTAACTTTTAACATGAGCGTTTTCATTGTTCCATCTGTAAAACGAGAGCTTTTTCTAGGTATATTTCTTTTGTAACCTACCCTAAATGTTTTTGAAAGTAATTAGGAAAGTAGTGATTCACTCTTGCTTGAAAAGGTTGACATGGATCCAGGTGCTGGTGGGCTCTGCATATTTTGCTGAGAGGTATAATAGCAGGGTAGTGGCGGATCTGGAGTCAGGCTGCTTGGGTTTGATTCCTAGATCTGCCACTTACTATCTGTGTGATCCTGGGCAAGACAGTTAACCTTTTCTGTGCCTTGGCTTTATTTTAAAATGGGAAAAATAATACTTATGTCTAAGAGTATTGTGAGGATTTAATGACCTTATACTTGTTTAGCACCTAAACTAAAACCGTGTCCAGCAAATGGTAAAGTGTCTGTAGGTCAGAGATTATCATTATAATGTATGTTGATACTTTGTGAATTCTCAACCATGAATTACTTTATGTAGCTGTGGTATCTTGCGGTATTTTCACTAGATTGTATGTCTTTAATAATAAGCCTTCAGATGTAAATATTTCTTACACTGAAGTTCTCAACCTGTAAAGAAAAGGAGGAACTCAAAACACATAATCTCATTTGGAATTTTTTTAATTCTTAAGAAAAATGTCTATATTCTAACATGGAATTTGGGGGAGGAAAGTGGTGTTTGATGAATGTTTGGGGTTTGTAATCTTAGGTGCCTCCCACTAAATTTTCGCAAAGATGAATTAAAAGGAATTTATAAAGATCGAATGAAAATCGGAGCAAGCCTTGCTGATGTTGATCCAATGCAACTGGATTCTTCAGTGAGTACAGTCTGAGATGTATTATTTTATTTTAAAATTTAAAAAGAAAACAGTGTTTTATAAGAAATTTTTATCTTTGTAGAACCTTTTATTTCTTTTAATCTTTAGGCCACAACTGTTGCTCAGTTCTTCCTGTTAAGTTACTGTTACTCAGTTGACTATGTGTGGCTTAGATAGAATGGAATAAGATTTTAGCTTTGACTCCCAAATCTCAGAATGTCAATGTTTCCCTTCTACTAACAGGTACGATTTGATAGTGTTGGTGGCTTGTCTAATCATATTGCAGCTCTAAAAGAGATGGTAGTATTTCCATTACTTTATCCAGAAGTCTTTGAAAAATTCAAAATTCAACCTCCAAGGTAATTTAATTATACATTTTACTTTCGCTAAAATCTTTCCTGTGCTGTGTCCAGAAACCGCCTCTCTCTTGAAAATTTCCGGGTCTAGAGTCATTTGTTATACTTGCCCTTGCAAGGTCCGGGATGATTTGAGTATTTTTACTTTCTTAATGTTTAAGGTGAAAAATGGTTTCAAAATTGATTCTCCACTAAAAAATCATTTCCCATGGCTTTTTATACATTTAGTAAAATTCTTGTCTTACATACTCATTTTTCCTTTCAGCTTTGTGATTTAGTTTTAAATTTATATCAAAGTAATATATGTACATAGTTTTTTAATACATGTATTTTTATTTTTTTTTCACAGTAGTAAAAGATGTTTTTCAGTTTTCACAATCAATAGCCAGATAAAAAATAAAAGATAATTACAATTGCAAGCCATAATGGGAACATTATTAACTTAACAATATAAATTACTATTTTATAACGGCATAAAATAATTACATACAATGGGAGCTCAAGCAGATTGATGTAGTAAGTGGAAATGCATACATGCACATAATTTTTTAATACATGTATTTTTATTTTGAACTGAAGTATATCCATGGACAGAGAAGCCTGGAGGGCTACAGTCTGTGGGGTGGCAAAGATTCAGACACAACTGAGCTCCCATGTGCACAAAGTTGATTGTGTATGTATACATAACTTTAAAAGTCAAGTAGCACTCTTAAGTTTCACAAAGAAAAATTTACAAAAGTAGGGTAGGCCCTCTTCAACCCTTCTTCATTTTAATTTTTCTGTTTTTAAAATTTGTTTTCTGTCTTATGGCCACACGATGCACCACTGGGGAAGTCCCTCATTTTTCTATTTTAGACACAATTTATAGACTTCTAAGGATGAACGGTGGCTATTTGGCTCCTTTACTTTCCCTGCCTTCCATGCATAAATATTTATTCCCCTTCCTTAATGCTTTCAGTAGTTTATTTGTACACATATAAACTTACTGAATCACTTTTCCGTGTTTGCTTTATGCCTGTATATATTTGTTTTTGCAGTCAAGCCATATATAATTGTATTTTCTCTTTTATATCTCTCCTCACCAACTTTATTATTTGCTGTTTTGGTGACAGGAAGGTAGGGGTTTTTTGTATCACCATCCTTTTTTTAATTTTAATCACCATCCTTTTTTATCTTCTTTCTTCTAGTTTTTATACCTTACTTATCAACCAGTTTTTAAGCCCTAGTTCCTAATTTTCTTTTCCTTTTATAATTTTTCTCCCTGAATCACCCTCTATGGAAATATTGATTTAAGTAAACTTTTAAAAGTTTGTAGGCTTTTTAAAGCATAAGTCATTTTAGTTAAATTGAAGCATAAATCAGTTATACTAAACATTGGTGAATTAAAAATATTTTAATAAAAATATATAATATTAAATAATAAGGATTTAATGATGACAGGACATGTTGGAAGTACCTAGTTAAAGTGATTTGGTAAATTTTAGGGAATTCTTGGCAATCCAGTGGTTAGGACTTCACGCTCTCACTGCCAGGGGGTCCATGTTCAATACCTGGTCAGAGAGCTAAGATCCCACAAACCACGGGTTGTGGCAAGGGAAAAAAAAAGTGGTTTAGTGAATTAAAGGAACAGTGACAAATTAGAACATTCTCTAACATCATATACAAAAATAAATTCAAAATAGACTAACTTTAAGACCAAAAACCATAAAACCCCTAGTGGAAAACAGGAAAAATAGAACTTTTAATGTAAATCATAGCAATATTTTTTGGATTCATCTCCTAAAATGAAGCCAAAATAAATAAATGGGACCTAATTATATTTTACGCTTTTTCACAGCAAAGGAAACCACTGACAAAAGAGAAGGGCAACATATAGAAGAAAATATTTGCAAATGATATAACTGATAAGGGATAAATATCCAACAATTATAAAAAGTTCATACAACTCAACATCAGTGAAACAACCTGATTAAAAAATCGCCAGAAGAATTGAATAGATGTTTGTCCAAGGGGACATGCAGATGGCCTCCAGGCACAGGAAGAGACACTCAGCATCACTAATCACCAGGGAAATGAAAGTCAGAACCACAGTGAGGTGTTACCTCATACCTGTCAGAATGGCTATCATCAAAAAGACAAATGTTAGCGAGGATGTGGAGAAAAGGGAACCCTTATATGTTCTTGGTGGGAATGTAAATTGGTGCTGCCGTTCTGAGAAACAGTATGAAGGTTTCTCAAAAAATTATAGAACTACCATCATATATCGGTAATTCCACTGTTGGGTATATGTCCAAAAAAAGCATTAATTCAGAAAACACGAATGCACCCCAGTGTTCATAGCAGTATTATTTATAATTGCCAAGATACAGATGCAGCCTACGTGTCCACATCAACAAATGAATGGACAAAGAAGATGTAGTATATATTATTAATACATACACAGTGGAGTACTACTGAGCCATAAAAAAAGAATGAAATATTGCCATTTGCAGCAAAATGGACGGGATTGGAGGCCATTTTGCTGAACGAAATAAGTCAGAGAAAGGCAAATACATATGATATTGCTTTTATGTGAAATCTAAAAATATAGCAAACTAGTGAATATGAGAAAAAAGCAGCTTCACAGATACAGAGAACAAACTACTGCTTACCAGTGGGCAGGGAACTGAGAAGGGGCAGTGTGTGGGTGGGGGGTTAGAGGTATAAACTATTGGGTGTAAAATAATCTACCAGGATGTATTACACAAAATGGGAACTCTAGCAAGTATTTATAAAAACTGAGTGGAATATAACCTTTAAAAATTGTAAATCACTGTATTTTACACCTCTAACTTAGTTAATACTGTATATCAGCTACACTTCTATTTAAAAAACTAGACCAATTCCTTCCACTTTTTCTCTTCATTTCCACTTACTTACATTTCTCCTTTCTTACATTTCTGCTCATAAAAAATCAACATATGATTGTGTTAAACTGTTTTTATGTGGTATGTTCTCTTTCCATTTTAATGCCTGAATGATACTCCATTTTGTGGATGTATCACATTTTGATTCTGCTATTGCTGACTATTTTGTTTTCTCCTTAGTTTTTGTTATTACAGATATCAATACCATGAACATCTCCATTGCTTCCTCTTTAGGGAATACTTTTTTCTTTAAAATACAATCTCACAAAACTATTGGCTCAATAAATATATTTTTAAGAATCTATTTCTGTCTTGGCTTTTGTGCATTGAAATCACTGATTTATTCCATTTAAATTCTGATTGTTTTCTAAACAATTGCTTTCTTCCCCCATCTGCATTGACCGTGTCCGTTTCCTATTATTTTTGTTTTGACTGTGCCGCAGGATTTGCAGGATCCTAGTTCCTCAGCCAGGGATTGAACCCAGACCCTGGCAGTGAAAGCACTGAATTATACCCACTAGACTGCCAGGGAATTCTCTTAATTTTTCTTTTATATTTTATCCTTGACTTTGAATAGATTTATTTCATCCATCACTTTTTTGTTTGTCTGGCCATTCTTATTTTGTCGTTTCTGTTTTTCTGAGATCTACCTTAACTTCAATTAAATAACTGTTAGATAGTTAAGGAGCAGTTACTTGATCATTTCTACGAAGAGTGTGAATATAACTCATTTTCTCAGAATTATGCCAGTTGGAAATAGTTGAAAAAACTGCATGACATGTGCAGTGATATCACCAAAAATTATTGTGAATTGTTTATGTTGTCCTGGTCCCTATCACCCAGCCACTACTTCAATTTCTTTCTTTCATCCTACTTTATCTCATGGTCATTCCCACCATTTTTTTGCGAAACTTTTGGTGTTACATGTTACTGGCACTCAGACCAAGGATGATACTTGAAATCTGCTATTCTTCCCACTGATGTTATATAAGTAAGCTGTCAATCATACCTTTTTTGCAAGATAAGGTAATATGAACAAATTTGAATGAATAAAAGAAAATGTTTCAAATAAAGGGTTTATTTAGTTTCAGTATTCATTTTGTAGTATGAATATTAATCCCCACGTTTTAAGTTGTGCTTTGTGTATTGAAATGTTTCAGTTGTCTTGTTTACTTTCTTATTCACTAGTTATACTCATGAAATTGATCTCTAATTTTGTTTAGCCAATTTTTTAATGTAGTGCAAAAATAATACTTACTCTTTTACAGAGGTTGTTTGTTTTATGGTCCACCTGGAACTGGAAAAACTCTGGTTGCCAGAGCACTTGCCAATGAGTGCAGTCAAGGGGATAAAAGAGTAGCATTTTTCATGAGGAAAGGTGCCGACTGTCTGAGTAAGTGGGTAGGAGAATCTGAGAGACAGCTTCGATTGCTGTTTGATCAGGTATGATATTAAAATTTGCCTATATAGATCTGTAATCAGTGTAGATTAAGTATGTAAGGATTGGATAAACCTTGCATTTAATCACTTTTCATTGAAATAGTCTCAAAATAATTATGTCAAAAATATAATGTTTCTAGATTATTTTCCTTTGTATTTTTGTATGTCTTGATTACACCAACTTATGAACAGCTTTAGAGAGAAAAGAGAAAATAATTGGGTCTAAATTCTTTGGAGGCTTTAGTCTAGAGAAAGAGTGATATTTTCATAAAGAGATAACACTAGTGAGTTTATGTTTCACTGTGCAAGCGGGAGATTAGCTCTGCCCGAGTGGGTTTCAGTTTCATATCCCAGATGTATTAACAGTTAGCTATGAGATAATACATTCTGATCTACTGAGGCATATTGCTGCAAATACTTTAATACCTCTTTGTAAAATTCACTGAGGCTTTTTAAATTTTAATTTTGCTGAAACTGATTTTAAACTATAACATCTTGTTAAATGTTTTCTCATCCTGACATGGAGGAAGGCTCTGTCATTGTCTTCTGTTCTTTGTTTTGCTTTGACAGTTGATCTTCTATAGATGTTTTTTGTGTCCCCATAATTATAGCTATATGAAATCTAAGGGATATAACCAGTGGAGTATGAATTTTGAATATTTCCAGCTGAATATACAAATAAACTTAAATCATACGCTGTTATAATTTAATCTCAATCCTTAAAACACAATTCTTGAATTTACAGTTATATTTTTAAAAATTTACTAAACACAAGTAGGAATTAATTTAAAGTGATTTATATTGAGTCTACATATTTGAAGCCTTTCATAATAGCATGCAATCACTGGACTGCTTTCTAGGCCTATCAGATGCGCCCGTCAATTATTTTCTTTGATGAAATTGATGGTCTGGCCCCAGTACGATCAAGCCGGCAAGATCAAATTCACAGGTAAAACTTGCTTGATGGTACTTCTGCCTTTCTCCCTATATTTTGAGCTGTATTACTGTTGCAAGAAGGATAGAATGTTAAATGGTTAGAAACTTTATAAACCAGTTGTTGTTTGGTAGTAGAAACCAATGTATAGTACAAAAAGAAAAGTGAACCAGTTCTAAATGGTAGGATGTTCTCAAACACAGTATTGGTTATAGATTTAACTTGTGATACAGACTTAAATGCCCACTGGCCCAGTGAGGTAAATAAGTTCAGTCTCTCGTGTCCGACTCTTTGCAACCCTATGAATCGCAGCACGCCAGGCCTCCCTGTCCATCACAAACTCCCGGAGTTTACTCAAACTCATGCCCATCGAGTTGGTGATAAAGGCAGATAAAATGAGTGAGGCAGGCCAGTGAGTGGGTCAGGGAAGTGTGTCTGAATGTCCAATCGTCAGAGTATAGCCAGTTGCTTTTAGCTCCAGCCTATTGAAGTGTAAAAGCTGACTCAGATTTGAAAAATAAGTTTTCTCTTTCTTAAATTTTATGTATGTTAACTATCTTTTAGATGTTGCTAACTGGTTCGGATGCTTTTAAGGCACTACCTGAGCCAAGCAAAATATGTCTTAGTATCTGGCCACTAGTTTAAGTTTCTAATACTAGCTCAACTTCCTCATTTTCAGAATGAGAAAATTGCATCTCCCCTGTGATAACTGAGTACCCAAGGGAGCTGTTTTCATTAGTGCCACTGCCTCAACTTGAATCTCAATTACTTTAGTCCTAGTTCATCTTCAGTTCTTCAGACCTTCTTCTTAAATGTAACTACTTAATTAATTTGGGATACCCAAAAGTGAATGTTTGCATGCCTTCATAATGCCAGTATTATTTTTACTGTAGATGTTGTAAAAGAGGAACAAGATGTAAAAATATGAGTGATATGTAGGTTTTGGCTTTTATAATGCCTAACAACATTTACTATATTGTTATACCCTTCTTTGTCTTGATGCTGTAGAATTTTATTTGTTGCTCTGAGTAAATTAAAATGTTTACTCCTATATGATAAAAATAGTTGTGTGTGCTCATACCTACCAATAATGGTACACACTTTTTAGATATGACTCATTTCAATATCAGCTATACTGTATTCATTGTGTTAGTAGGAATAACACTAGCACCATCACTTTTCAGTCAAGCAGTTGAGTAACTACTGTAGTTTGGAATAACTCTAAAAGGGATTGGAGATGTTTCAGCAACAAATACAGAATAATTTTAGCAAGCACGTGCCATTTCAAATATGTGTTTTTAAGAGAAATTTTATCGTACAAATTTTTTTGTTTTTTCCCAAAGACTTAAAAAATTTTAGAGCAAAACGTTTTTGCTAAATTAAGCTTTTTTAAAAGTTAGCACATTGGCCATGATTAAACTGTATTCTGTATCTTACTGTTTCTGATAATATTGTAGGATAATGCAAATAAGTAATTATGTGAATACATTAGAAAATAAGATTTTTAGCCCAAGAGAAAGGGGATGCAAATATAAAATAAGTTAAATTAAAACCCTTGCATCTTTATTTGAATTGGAATATCAGTATGAACTCATGATGAAATTTATTTTTAAAGAAAAAATAATTCCTGTCTCTGGGCACTAAAAAGCCCTCGAAGCAATCATAGTCCTGTATATTCTGTTTTACTTTGGCATCCTTAGATAATGTGTACACAATGAAGCTTTTGAAACTTTTTTTTTAAGTTTCTGTTTATCTGCCTAATACTTGTATTATTTTTTTTCCTTTTGATGTTGCATCCTTGTTTGAGAACTCCGAAGTTCTAGGTGAAATTGTATTTTATGAAGTGGCTTCCAGGATCCATTTGTAGCATATTATGTGTGTTTCCCATTGATTTTAAATGTCTGTGTGCCATGTAGTATGCTATTTTACAGATTTTCTTTTTAAAAAGTCTTGAAAATAGTGCGATGCTCTGAGAAGATTTATTCACACATTTAATGTATTAAATCTTCACAAAAAAGAAATGATGTATTTGGCTTCTATATAGTTAATCTTGTCTCTCTTATTTTTAAATTTAGTTCAATTGTTTCCACCTTACTAGCTCTGATGGATGGATTGGACAGCAGAGGAGAAATTGTGGTCATTGGTGCTACCAACAGACTGGATTCTATTGATCCTGCTTTACGAAGGCCTGGTCGTTTTGACAGAGAATTCCTTTTTAGCCTACCTGATAAAGATGTAAGAATTTAACATCACTGAAATTTTGACAAAATTGATTGTGCTTATCTTGAACAGGTCTTAGTACAGTAAAAATTCGAAGGTTGAGTTTTGTATGTTCTGAAGCAAAGTTGTATGATTAACATTCGAATAAGTATGTATGTATTTTTAGAGAGGCATTATTTAAAGAAGAGAACTCAGATAATCATTTATTTATTTATTTATTATTTTGGGAATGCATACCTTGTGGCATCTTAGTTCTCCACCCAGGATTTTAACCCAGGCTCATGACAGTGAAAGTTCTGAGTCCCAAACACTGGACCAGGGAATCCTTAGACGTACACCTCTGCGCCTTCCCTGCCACCCCAAGCAGAGCCTTTGCTTGTTAATCATATAACTTTTATTTTGATTCAGAACATGTGGCCTAACAGTCAGTCCTTAGCCAGTTCGTTAGACTTGACTTTTTCATGGATACAACCATGTAATTCTACCCAGTTACTTTAAAGTTGCTGAATATCTTGAGACCCAAGTATGAAAATATGGGTAGAGCTGTCAGTACTCAACAGTTTTTAATATGTACCAGAATAAACAATAATCCAGTAGTTCGTTAATTTTTCTCATTCACATTTGTAATGACTAGAACTTGAGCACTAAAAATGCAGTCTTATTTAATATAAATTTCTTAAGCTCATACAAATATATCTTTTTTTTTCCCATTTTTACTGTTTCATATTTCTGTTTATAGTAGGTATTGACAGCTTTACATTTTTAGATAACCCAATTAACTTAAAGTTACTCTAATCTGAATAGCACTGTATTATAGAAAAATTAAATTGTTTTTGTTTGTAGGCTCGAAAAGAAATTCTAAAAATTCACACAAGGGATTGGAATCCTAAACCACTGGACATATTTCTGGAAGAACTCGCAGAAAACTGTGTTGGTAAACATTGCTTTAAGCATTAAAGAAATATTATATGCCTTTCAAAGATGGAACAAGTTGTAGTTTTGCCAAGGTTTAATGTTTCTTGTTTAAAGAAATACAAAGTTAGATTTGTTTCTTAGTTATAATTTGTGGCATGTTTTCTTATAAAGTCCTAGATACCATATAGAGGTACTTAACATCTTGACTGTCAAAGAATTTGAGAATGAAGTTAGATCTGTTTACATTTTTCTTTTTTTCTTTTTTTTTTTTTCTGTTTACATTTTTCTAATTATTCTGTTACACATTCTACATATGCTATTTCAGGTAACTCTTACATCAATCGTGTAAAGTAGGTAGCTTTATCCCTATTTTACAGATAGAGAAATGGCTGAGAAAGCATAGATGATTCTCTAAAAAGATCACACATCTAGTAAATGACAGACTGGAATTTGATCCTGATTATCTGATTTCAAAACACATGCTCTTGACCCCTGCGCTCTGCTTTTAGTGCTTGCCTATTTCACTCTCAAAAGTTGATTGATTTGTTCAGTTCAGTTCAGTTCAGTCTCTCAGTCGTGTCCAACTCTTTGCGACCCCATGAACCACAGCACACCAGGCCTCCCTGTCTATCACCAATTCCCGGAGTTGACTCAAACTCATGCCCATTGAGTCGGTGATGCCATCCA